ATCCAGGTGGGGAGATCGCCCCATTTGGGCTCACTTAGGATAGGTATGTGCAGAGTTTTGTGCGGAATTAGGGCTTGGAAGAGCAGAGCTCGCAAATTATGCTGCCATTCCGGTATGAGTCCAGGCCACGCCCCCCTTCGCCAAACAATTTGCATTGTGCCTGCGTCCCAGTTCCTTTATATGCCAATTTGCTGTCAATCCTGAAAAGTGATGCTGGGCGTCTCTCTGAAGAGAGGGCTAGGTTCGTATTGCCCATGAAGCAAAACCATTTCTGTGCTGATTCCCTAATATGACGTGCTTATTCGAGCACCATGTCAGCTGAGAACATATTCGATCTGCGTAGACATCATCCGCCAAGTACATCACTCGAGCCAGGGGCTCGATGGCATCTAGGAATTTATCCTGCGCTCCTTTAAAAGCCTGTTCGACCCCTTTGCGAGGGTTTCTGTCCCTGCAGGCCATAAAAGACAGCATAACCTGGTCAAACTCCAGGGCTAAGGCAACCTTGCTGGGCAGCGTGTGGCGAGGACATTTAGACATCATGCGCTTGCGAACATCCTTGTCCAAAGATTTTCGCAGCCAGAAGTGCGTGAACCTTGTTCCGGAGGTGTCCAATCTCACACAGACTGTAGGAAAAATGCACTGTACACTGAGGGAGAGACCTAGAGAGGAAATGGGTGCTTGGTCTCGCGATATACGCAATTGCAAGATGGCCGCTGTGAGCCCAGTAAGATTGACAACGAACAAGCCGAAAAAAGCATGCATTAACAAACTATAGGCATCCAGCAAAAATAATGCAATAATGAAAGGCATGGCCAAACGAAAGCCTTTCGTTCAGCGGTGTGAATGTAAAGCTGTCCAAGAACGTTGACGCCTGCAATCCACGAGGCAGTGAATGCCACACGCTCGGGTCAGAGTGAGCAGAGGCTTGGAGGGTCAGCCCATGATGCCCTTCAAGAGCCCATGAAGCACCGAAACTACCTCAACCCCAGAAAGTGAACCCCAAGATCCCAAGGAGATCCAGGGGACTATAAACTGGGACAGGAAAACCTAAGAAAAATAGACGTATACAATAATAAGAGTAATAAAATAAAAGGTACAATATGCAATAAATACAAAAGAGGACAGAGAGAGAATAAGTACTCTGATCAGTCTTGTGAGGGAGCAGCAATGAAAGAGGAAGTGCTTATGTTTCATGTGCCTTATTACCTATGCTTGTCTATAATTGGTTACCAGTTTTTCTATATATTCCTTTTTTGCTATGGAGTTAGTAAAGAAAGATTATGAAA